CTTCCTGCTGCCCTTCCAAGAACTAGGCTTCTCCCAGTGAACTTCGCAGCCTTCGCCAACCGAACGGAGAGCTCTGATCCCTTCTTGCAGAGATCGCACCTGTTCACCGGAGAAAACTTCATGTTCTATGCTCGCGCCTCCTTCCCGCAGGCACTCCTCTGCGTCCAGCGGAACAAATCAGGAAGTTCTTCTCTGCCTCTCGTACGAGAATAATTGTCTCTCCAGGGCCGTCGCGTCTCGTCAAACTGCTCAGGTCCTCCTGCTTCCCGAACTCCCGAACAAGGAACTCTCCGAACCCTTCTCTGCACGATCTCCGCCTCTTCCCTCTGGCCGAGCTGCTCGTAAGACCGAACTCCTGCTCCGAAATCCTTTCTTGGAAGCCCTGTCGCAAATTTTTGGCCCTCGCTCGCGGACTGTTCCTCCTCCGTCTCGCCGAACCACACTATCTGCGGTGCGAATCCAGTCGATCAAAGCTTCCACTGCTCACTGAATCTGTCGCGGCTCGGCTGCCGAATTTGTTGCGATTCTGCTGCCTGCGACTCAATTCGCTTGCTCCTCTGTTCGTGAATGTCAAACTCCTCTTCTTCGTCGCTGGCCGCGAACATCTTTACGTGGACATCTCTAGCCAAGAAGTATGAATCTTCCCACAGACGACGCCAATTGTTGTGAGACATATACTTCCTGGCATAAAAAATGAGACGCAAAGAACACAAGCAAACACAGATCGTTTACGTGGTTCGATCCAACTGGATCTACGTCCACGGGAGGGAATCAATCTAATAGTTCACTAAGGCAAAATAAATGGAGAATACATAGCTTATACATAGAGATGAGCCCTCATCTTCCTTTTACGGTCTCTCTCTCAAGCGACACCTTGATACAATGCCTGAAGATGCTCTCCTCCTCTCTAGCTCTCTAGCTATTATCTCCTCCTTTGTGGTAGCTTAAGATCTCTTCTCTTGCTCTCCTAAGCCTTACACCCTCTCTATTTATAGAAGCAAGAGAGTGGTAAGTGGGAGGTAGGTGAGCGGTAGGTGAGCGGTAGGTGAGATGTGGTAGGTGAGCGATACCACATTACAAAAGTGTCCTTTTACCTTAGTTCAATAATTGGGGGTCAAAATAACATGTGCAAAACAAAAGATTAATAGTAGAGGAAAACGTGGGTAAATATTGCATGCCAGCCTGTAATGGTCTCGATTTTCATTTAATGGGACCTTTAAGACTACAACATTAAAATGGTCAAGGCTAAGACTTCCAGTAGAATAACCCAAAAGCTACCTTCGGTTGTTATTGATCCCCAAATGAGTGCATGATGATTGTTTCCTAAGGAATCCAACAATGCTTTGGCAGTATTTACTTCGCAGTTGATTTTGAAGAGAATTCATATAGAACTTTATTTCAAACTAACACAATATATTCATTTTACATGTAAACCTTCTGCCTTAAATCAAATTTGATCGCAACCAAAAAGAGTGGATAGGTGCATGCAAAAATGAATAATAGTTGTGGACATGTATCACATTTGCAGCCACTACAGATACTTCTATATTGAAAGCAAGAATAGTACTTTTCTTTTAATACTTTAAGCCAATAATAATCCTTCAATTTTATTACAAGTCAACACTCAATGTATGCATAACTAGTGAACGCGAGAAATGCCATGAATGCGTGATATTAAGGGATTCTTTTGAATTTATTATCTACTCTCTGAAAGAACAGTAACAGGGAATGTTGTACAATTTATACAACAGAAGAACTTGGTTTGACATTGAAATATCTCAGGTGAGAATCACCATCCTTCAACATCGGATCGCGAATCTCAAAAGCCAAGAAAATTTCAAAGAACTATCCTACCATTCACTGCCTAAATTGCATCGTCCTCGTTGACAGCATTCGGATCGAAAAGTCTTACCCGCACGAAATAAATAACCAAAAAACAGTCCCAGCCAAAAGAACAATCAAGCCACAAACTCCCCCTAACTTATCAGCAATTTGAATATTAGAATGAGAACATCTTCGAGACGGCGATTTACATGGATCCACATGGAAAAGGGAAAGAAGAGTGAACCTCAGTGAGCGATTAGACAGATTGAGAGATCCGGATGATCTTGCTTGTTTGAAAAGACGATCCATGGCTGTTTCGATCTCTGTTCTGCTCCCTGCAGTTAGCCGTCGTAACCTTGCGTTTCTGCGCCGCCCGACGGCGATGAAGGGGCGTTTTGCTCCCAATTGGGCGGCATTTTATTGCCGCTGTATGTCTTGGTTAAACATGTGGGGTTATTTAATCAAGCGAAATTTGCACACATGACCTGCAATTCTTATGTTGTTACAGTGTTACATTTGTACAACTAAATTTTTATATTTATACTTGTAACATTTTGACTTAATTAATGTAGGCATGCAAATGTATATTTTATTTTTGAAAACTAAATAAAAGTTGAAGAGTTCTAGAGAAGTAGGGACGGTGGAATAATGAAATATCTTGTTCCCAAACATTTTCACATAAAAAAAATTAAAAAAAAGGAGAAAATAACGCTGTCTACTCTATTAGAATAATTCACTATAAATTAATGATTGCACTTCTAGATCTTTGTCCTATGGGTGGGAGAGGACTTCACATTTCTTTAGATATAATTGTTTGTTGCACAGTGGCTGGAGATGATTTTAATTGATAAAGAAATAAAATTGTATTTTTATTTAATCATATTGAATTTATACTGTAACATAATTTAAAATTTTAACAAATTAATTTTAACTTAAATTCAAATACAGATAAAAATTTTAGGCGAAAAGTGCGCAAAAATAGAATTGGCGGAGAAGATTAAAATACAAATTTATGTTTTTATTTTTAGGGTATTTACGGGCATTAGGGCTGTCAAAACGGTTCGTTGTTCGTGAACAGCTTGTGTTCGACTTAAAAAGCTCGTGTTCGGCTCGTTTTTGCGAAC